AATATTCTAGTTGATCTCAGGGTACCTTTGATTTCTTTTTTTGAGTTTTTGCTGATTCGGGAAAATTTGATACAAATGACCACATTAAGAAAAAACAACAAAATGAGGGGCTCAATTTCTGAAATTCAAGAAATTGAGGGTCTCAATTTCTTAATTTGGCCGTTCTAGAAATCTCTGAATTTTGATGAATTTTGATTTAAATTGAATTTGTTGATCTGTTGTTTTTTGAGATCTGGTTATCTTTATTCATCTGAAGACGAATTGGACCATTTCTGATCATTGTATAGGGGTGTCTTAATAAAAATACCACAGCTCCTCCATTTCTTAAAAAGAAATACCACAGCTGCTCCATTTTCAATCAACAATTGAGAGGTGTCAGAAACGGCCGAATTAAGAAATTGAGCCCCCCAATTCGTTAGATTTAAGAAATTGAGCCCCTCGATTTCTTAATTTGTGATTTTGTGAAATCTGGTCATTTATCCACTTGGAGAAAGTTGGACCATTTCTGATCATGTCTGTGGCCAGTTCTATTCAATTTTATCCAGAATTGGGAGATGTCAAAAACGGCCGAATTACAAAAACAAACTAAATTAAGAAATTCTCTCCCGCCAGGTCAGGGTACCCTCGATTTCTCAATTTCTGTTTGCCCTGCATTTTCGAACTAAATTTTATCTGCGCAGCCGCCGAGGGGCTCAATTTCTTAAACCAATGTTTTCTTAAGCAGTCCTGTCGCTGTAGTCTAGTAGGCGAGAATCCTCAAAGCCAGGGCTGAGGATGCACAATATGTCGCAAGCCAGCTTGGAAGCCCATCTGTGCGCAGGAGATACCAGAAGACGTGGCCATTACCCCAGGATTGGACAATCCGGTGCGTGTTCAGGCAGAAGCAGTGCTGGGCCCTTCCGCCGTATAGAAATAGAGGCCTTGGGGGTTTAATGTTGTAAGATTTAAAGCTGCCCCCGGGAGCACCCACAAGTTTGTCCAATCTGGTTACTTCCACACAGTTTGAGCAATGGTAGGAAATAGTCTCGCACACCAAGGAACCGAAAAGATTAAGTCGGCACGCCCAAGCCCATCCCTCACACACCAAAATGATATGTCAGGAAAGTAAAAGAGCAGAGATTGCTGCACAAAGCCAAGGTTTTCAGATAACCAAAGCCGACAAAGTTATCAACTTTCACTCAAGCATGGCCAAGCTACAGCCAAATAAGACCGAGGCCCCTCCTAGGATGTACGAGGGGTTGGGTCAGGCAGTAGCTTCAGTAGCTTACTCGTAGCTCGTTTAGGTTAGGCTAGGCAGGGTTGCCTGCAAGCGAGTCCTGGACTCCTCAAACTTTCTTCACGCCCTGACATGAAAGCGCTACCTAAATCTCTGAAAGCATTCCTCAAACCATGAGGCCATGAACATCCATAGGCGTGCTAGTGCTGGCCACTTCACGAAACACGCCTTAAAGCCCTGACCCGCAAAAACCTTCAACCCCAACCCCAAAATCCATGGAGCCTACGCATAAACACCGTAAACGTACAAACCCTGAACTACCATAGCCCTGCAGAATAGAATGGGCACCCTTGAACCCTAAGCCTGATCCCAAACCCTTTGAAACCAGCCCCTGAAAGCATAACCTATGATCCCCAAAGCCTTAACATGTAAAGCCTTGATTGCAGAATTTAAAGCAAACTTGACCTCAGAAGCCACCTGAACGTCACAACCCCACAACTGCATTGAAACCGCTAGGGTGTTTTGACGAACCTTGGAGCAGTGAGTTTACACATGATTTCGCAGCGCTTCAGGGTTCAAACACCTCTGGTGCCTAAAAACGGCCAGCGCGTGCAACATGTCTGGTAGTTGGGTATAGGCACAGAAGTGGACCTTGATGACTTTTCTCCAGAACCCTAGAATTGCATTTCGGGCAGACATGTCATTTGGTTGGAATAGGTTGGGTTCGGCAGGCTGAGGCTCAGGTCCCAAAAGCCACTCAAAGCTCTCGGCCAAAAACCCACAAGGCAGTTGACAAGTCACAAACGAGAAACCCCAAACCATCAATTCGACAAACACACAAACGGATCGTAAAGTATGACAAACCCTGACGTGTTAAACCAACAACCTCAAACTTTGACAGTCCTAAGCTACAAGTGAGACGCATTAGATCGAAACTTGAGGTGCTCGAACCGAGATCCCAGCCCCTCGAAACTCCAAGCCCTAGCCCGAAAATCTTCGACCTTCAAAAACCACTGGCTCTCAAACCAAAAATCCTACACCTCAATCCAGATAACCTAAAACATCGCCACCCCTGACTGCTAGCAACATACGCAAACCACAGACACGTTAGCCCCAAAAACAACACATAAACCTTCAAGGCACTGAAGCCCAGTCACCCCGAAATTCCACAAGCCTAAGCCCCAAAGCCAGAAACTCAGGCACTGTGAACCCGAACGCTTCCACAATCCAGTCAAAAGTAAGCCCTACCCCGAAAATCCCAAACTTCAAGCCCAAAAGCAACCAAAAGATTAGGAGTGTTAATCCACTGTTTCTGCAGAGGACGCAACTGCACCTGCTGCTCCCTTAACCTGATAGGGACGGGTTAGTCTCTGCAGTAAACGAATTCAAACACTGAAAACCCTGCTCAAACACCCTGTAAACTGTAAACCATTTCAATCATAATGCCGGAGGTGCTCCTGGGGCCAATCTGAGCTCAAAGCCCAAACGTGCAACCCAACACTCCCGAAGCCGTAAAACCTATTAAAGTTTGTTTTCAAGATTAGGATGCTGTTCATTCATGTCCAAGAAAAGTTGTCCCAATCGTAACCCTGGCCCTGATAACCTAAAAAGCCCTAAGCTGGAAGGCTCGCAGCCTAAATCCGAAGTTTAAAGCAAAAAGAAAAAGCCATGGATCCTTGGATCAGCCTTCACCTTAGTCCCTTGAAACCGCAAAATCAACCCTGAAAACCCCAACTCTAGTTGTTGGAAATCCTGCACCCTGGGCACAACATTGCCAAACCAGCAAAACCGAAGCCCAAGCTATCTTGAATCCTACCCAGGCAAACCACAGCCATAAACCCTGGCTCTGAAAACAAGACACGCGAACCCGCAGAAACCCGAAACCTATGTCACCACGAAGTCCGAAACCCAAAGCCTTGCCCTTAAACCAAAAATCATAACTTGAGAGAGACTACGGCGCCGAAGTGCCAGAAGCGTTTGAGGCCACCAGAATGATGTTCTCCTGAGTGCTGCAAGGGTTGTGGTGGCTTGAAAGGAGCCCGCTCCAGCAGGAGCTTTACCAGCTGTAACATGTGGGTGAAAGGGTGACCTTCAAAAATCGTAAGCACTACAAGCCCCAAAACTCGCCAAGAAAGACAAATGCCATGCACACGATCAATATTGCGTTCAGCAAGCCTGCAAGCACGACCACAACCCTCGATCCCAACCCGAAAATCATTAAACGCTCACCTTGAGACCTAGCCCGTATGCCCTGCAAAATATTGCGCAACTGCAGTTGAAGCCAAACATACTAAACGTTGACTCTGACAACAAATTATCAACCCTCAAAAGCAACATCCTTATAAACAAAATCCTAACCCCAAGCCCTTGAAGCTTGACAGGACAAAGAACGAATGCCTACCCATGCAATCCTGTTCCCTAACCTGAATACCCTGAACTTCAAAAGTGACACCTAGAACGTGCCGACTGTCAACCGTACTCATCCAAAACCTGTACCATGAATCATGTCCGGACACCCTAAACCCCAACCCATTACTGGTCGGTCAGTTGGTTATGGTTGGCTGAGTGCCTTTTTTCGTACTTGCGTTTGTCTTGGTGCCTCAGTTGGTCTGCTTTTTCTGGTTTACCCCAAAACAGAAGCACAGCGTGCACACCGAGCAGTCAAGCTTCTACTGTAGGCTGCTCATTTGGCTGTTCCAAGTTGCAACCACTGTTTGTTGAACTCGGGAAAATGAATTGGTCTCATGCCACCATTTGCGTTAAATATCTCAGCCCTGCTGAGTAGGCTGGCAGGCAAAAGAAGTTCAGGCGGATTTCTTGCGCAGCTCGGAATTCCAGCATCATTCCCGCCATGAAAAGAGTACTGCGCTGCGCTTACCGCAGGAGGATCGCTCCTGCGGCGTTCGCGCTGCGGATTGCACATTGATTCAGAAGGACTGCTGGGAATCAATCTAGGTTGGGCTTGTGTCCAGCTGTTACTGTCTCGGTTTCTATCCGTGGGTTCTTACAGACACGGGTCCGCGCCCAACATAACTTCGAACTTCTGAAACCTTGCTTGCAAGGCTTCGTGAGGCCTTGAAGCAAACATGAAATACATGCGGCACAGCCCTGCAGATTTCAGATTCAACTTGTGAGTGAATCGGGCCGGGCTTATGACGGTGCTTACTGAACTCTCACATCTCCAGCGTTTTCTTGCATCAGTTGCCAGCGCCAACGGTCTTTGCAAAAACCTGTCCATCTATCGAGTTGTTTGTCTACATTTAAGTTGTTGGCTAGATATGGGGGCCTGGCCGAAAGCTGGCAGCGCGCGGCAGGAGCTCCTGAGCTACCCGGAGATGAGGCGTGGAGTTTGCTGCTGTTATAGGATTGCCGCTTCTCCTGCACCTAGGAACGCAGCCGGCTTTTTGCAGAGCTCCGTGGAAGCAAGTGGAGAGCCGAGATCCTCCTGAGAAGTGCTCCACCACGCCTTCGGAGTGACCGAGAGCTTGTGCTTGCAGCCGCGCGAGAAGATCCTGGTGCCCTTAAGTTTGCTGCTTCGGACCTCAAAGAGGACCGGGGCTTTTGGCTGTGGATCGTGAGGCAAACCAAGGCATGGTGGCTAATCCACTTTGGAGCCTCTCAGAAGCTCCTGGAAGACGCTGCCTTCTTGGAACGTTGCAAGAAAGCAGCAGGTACTGGCTTGGTGTTCACCTATTACGATGACTACAGCCTTTTCCAGACCCTGCGCAGGAGGTTTCCCGCCACGGGCGCCTCAGTGCCGGGCGGCGAAGCCTATGATGCAGTCATGGAAGAAGTGAGGCAGAATGGCAGCTTCTCGGCAGCTTTAGACATAGACCCTCAGAAGCGAGCCAGCGGAGAGCCTGCGCGTGCCCTTGTAGACTAGGGGAGGGAGTCAAGCGGAGCCTTACAAACATGCACAAGCAGCCTGAGCCTTAACCGCCAGCTTCGCTCCCGACGATGTCCAGGCACTGCCACAGTCTGGTTTGGAGATGAACCTGTCTTCGGCCACAATGCCGACCGTGGCGCGTGGCTCCACCCCAGCAGTGAATGCGGACGGGACGACATCCCGGTTCCGCCGGAAAAAGAGCAAGATTCAAAGTGGCGCTCGACCGTGGACTCCCGCAGGGCCTCGCATGTTGGCGGCTCAGCTTGCCCCGAGTTTGCGAGTTGCCTTCTTTCTGAAAGCACCTCTCAGGAGCCCAAGGTCGGCAAGCGATACAAGTGCTCCTCGGAGAGTTGCCAAGTACTTTCAGTCAATCACTCCCTGGTTTGCCGTATACTTCTGCCCCAGGTTGGTGCTGCAGATGGCTGCGCGAAGTGCAGCGACACCACGCCCAAGGCGAGGTAATCTGCTGCGCGGTATCAAACATCTTCAACTCAGACGCCTGGACTGCGCTGGTTTTTCAGGGCTTCAGCTGGGATGTTGCAAGCACGGCACTTTGTGCGGCATGCGTTTGGTACATCAGTAGCGGATCCCTGGCCTTCAAGGATTGGGTCGAGTTGTACGGCGCAGGATCATCAGAGTTGTCGGACGCGGACGCCGAAGCGCACGGCCTGCCAAAGCGTCTTGGCTGGAGGTGCTTCAGTTCAGATTTCAGTTTTCGCGGTTATCGCACATGAAATTCTCGAAGTCCAAGGCAAAGTCTTACGCTGAAGGCAACCATTCAAGGATCAGAAGACACATCATGTTAACATCGTGTGCGGCCTAGGCTTATGTAAGAAGTCGTATGTTTCGATTGAGGGTCTAGGACATGGGGAGAGTGCAAAGTTGTAGATTGGATGAGGCCACCTAGAAAATTTCTCGCTGCATGAATGCCTTGTTGCATGATTGTCCGAAGCTGAGCATCGTCACCGAAATTCTTCTAAGCTTCCTAAGAGGGTTTGCTAAAGCGGCAACCTTCCCTTTGTGTCGCGAATTGTGGTTTTTGGGAGGTTTGGCTGTTGCTTAGGGATTTCTAGTCAGTATTTCCTTTTCGGGTTTTTATCAGCGCGAGGCCTGGGATGTTTAAATCTAGGAAGACTTGAGACTCCGATTTTCTTAGCCGTGAACCTTGACAGCACAAGCTGGTTGACCAAGGGAAGTTTTCCGCAATGAGCGCCCCAAGGGCTGGGGCCAAGGCCGAATCCGAATATCTGGCGGATTTGGGGGGGATTTCGATCGCAAAGCACCAGTCCACCCGCGGACAAAGAAGCCATTGGGGGTTGGATGCCGCTGGGAACGCCAAGCTTTGGATGGCATGGGTTTTCCGGTATATGCCTTTTTCATGCCCTGAGCCACGCGAAACGTGAATTGTACATAGATATTGGATGGCATTGGATAAGCTTGCGCGCTGACAAACGCTGCAAAAAAAGACGAAGGGGAACACATGTGCGGCAAGATATATTTTCACCATTGCTTTTGGAAAACCATTGCGCACATATTCTATATATCATCGTTCATATATATCAAATACAATCTAAATCTCTAGAATATTGATAAATATATATATATATATATATTATGAGCATACCTTCGCCCGCCGATATAAAAAGACATATATATACAAAGGAATGACAGACCCTCGAGACGATATTCTTGGGGAAATGATGATTACACTGTGCGAGGGCGGAAGTCAATAACAACCATAGCTTCAATATATATATATATACATACCTCAATAATACGGCGCGGCTACATGCGGTCATTTCCCTCGCGCGCGGCCTAATTTTCTTCCTGCGTACCCCTTAGGAGCTTTAAATTCTCGGAGATTTTAGAATCTAATGGAAAAAGCTACAGGCTCTGAACTCTAAAATTTTCGAGATTTTTTGGCCTAGCCGGCGCGAGCAAAAATCTCGGAGATTTTTGGGATGCGACCCTTACCGCAGGAATGTTCTTCTATTTGAGTTATATCTCTTTGATTGATTGCGCGACTACTCGGAGAAATATATAGTCCTAGGATAGAGAATTAAAATCCTTCCGAATTTATATATTGGTCGTATCTATCTAGGAGGATATTTAAATTTTTTCGGAATCTATAGATTGGTCGTTTTCATAACATATAATTTTATATATTGATGATTCGTCGGGTGATATGGATGACCTTAATTGATTTCATGATTTATTTCTTTTTGATTATTTATGTGGTTATTCGGCAATATATATATTCGAGATGCGTAATTAAAATCTAAAGCTTTTAGAAGATTATATTTATATATAGGAATATTATGGATTCCTCGAGATGTTCTATAGATAGATAGTTTAACAGAGATTTCATATGAGGTTTTATATATTCTATATGATTTCTCTCTCTTTGGCTAGTTGCATTTGTTCGGCGGACCGCGTAAATCCCGGATGGAGAAATATTTTTTTTTCAGAATATTTCTAGATTATTTGAATTTCCCTCTAAGGATTTATAGATTTTCCCGATTTCTCATGTAGATGATCTAAGAAAGATAAATGAGGCGGAAAGATCGGGGCGGAAATCCAAAATCTTTCAGAACATATATCTTGGCCGTTTTTATTATGTGCGACTTTATATATTGATTAATTATCGATTTTCATATGCAATCTTATATATTGATGAATATCGTTATATATATTCTCAAATAAATAGAAATTATTAAAGGCAATAGATCAATTCTAATATATATATATATCTATATGAATATTTCATATATGAATGATAGATTGATATATTCTTATATATATATAAATAATATTCAAATTAGATTTATTGCTTTAATTTTGGCAAATCATATTTTCAAAGCGTCTCGATTCGAATATGCCGGAGGGATAACGGCGATATTGATTTTCAATTATATCTTATAAAATAAGAGAAATAGAGAAAGAAAGAGATAAGAAGATTTTTAATTTTCGTGATTTAGATATATGAAATCTAAATAGAATATTGCCTCTGAGAAAGCGTTTATATCTCGCCCTATGAGATATATAGATCAAAATAATTCGAAATCTATAATAATGGCGAAAAGAGGGAATAACGTACGTGCGGCCGAGGTATATTTAGATATCAAATTAGGATTTCCTAGAATAATGGTATTCTGATCTAGATATCTATCATTATATGAATGACGAATATATGATAATGAATTGATTGAATATGATCTCTTCAATGAATCAATTCTCGCGCCAGGGACCGAGGGAATATAATGCAGAAATGGAATTAATTTGTTGGGATATAATATATTAGATCTTCCCTATTTTTCCTTTTGATCAGATCAGAGCATCTCATAATAGTCGCATTCAGGAGAGACGGATAATTGAATCTGATATATATGAAATATTGACGATATCGTATAATTATATAATCTTGAATGATAGAAATATCTTGATGAATATCTGATAAAATGATAGATTTCTTTTCATTGATTTATTCTCGTCATCATCCGGGCAACGGAAATGTGTGATTTCCAAAAGCAAATGAGATCCGGATAACGATCTCGATCGAAGATAAATCTGAGAATTTCGAATCAATTTTGTTGAATATGCGTATTTTCTCAATCATGAAAAATGATATATCAGGATATTATATCAAGAGATATATATTGGTTTAGATAGATATTTATCTAGGATCTTGAAGATCGATAGTATATATCTATCGGAAATAGATTGAATATATTTATATGAGATATATTATAGAAATTTATTTGGATTGAAAATCTAAGAGAAATTAAATTGGGAGATAATTGATAGGAGAATTGAATTCATTACGTTTCTGATATATAAGAGAGAGAGAGAGAGAGATAGGGAGAGAGAGGATGATCTAGCTAGTTGCAAATATCATCAGAAACGCGTGAATGAAATCTTCGTCTAAATTTCTTAGATTCGAAAGATTCATATTATTTTTATACGGATATTCGATGATTCTTCAGATATTTTCTGAATGAGAATAATGAGAGGGAGAGAGAGGGAGAGAGAGAGATAGATTTAAGAATTCTATTATATAAATATCTCCAATATCGATTTGATTATAGCAGGTGCACGAATTCTGAGATCAATCAGCATGAAGATCTTAGATTTCATCAAAATGATATCCGCGCGGATCCCAGGTTTCATATCGTCATTGATAACGATTGTGCGTATACATATATATATATATATCTCTATATATCTATATATATATATAGATAGAGAGATATATATATTTATATATATATGGAGTGATATCTATACGTATATATATTCAGGTCCAGATAGATCCGAATGAAAACGTCTAGAATCAGATGATGATCTGTTATATCAGGAGTATTCGCACGTCCAGCAAGATTATATTCTCATATAATATGCATGATTTATATTTCATAGCATGATTTTTCTTTCAAACCGGCACAGAGAAATAGTGCGCAGTTTCCGGCGGCGGATGATCCATCCCGATCCATTCAGCAATCTAAGCCGCAAAAGTGGCTTCCCATACTGGGTCGTTCACAGAGACACAACAAGGCTGTCATAACTCCCCGAGCGCCGTACACGACTTCCCATGCTGGGACACGTGCGTCCTTCACGGCGGTTCTCCACTAATCCTAGGGCAGCATACGGACGAGGCTCCGTGTGACCACTCATGAAAGCCATTGCCCGTGCCGCCACGTTCTTGCCGGCACCGGCACGGAGTAGTAGATCGGCAACTTCCACGTCGCCGCGCAAGGCCGCCACATGCAGCGGCATCGTGCCTGCAGATTGGAGCGGTTGGCATCGGCACGAAATGACAATAGCAAACCTGCAACCTCCGCATGACCGCGGTTGCACGCAAGCATCAAGGTTGTCCAGCCTCAACGTCACCGCACCCTACTTCTGCTCGGAATCCAAGCAGCAATTGTACCATCTCCGAGTCCTTGTTCATGCTCGCGAACATCAGTGCACTTACGCCCCTGTGCTGTCATTTATCTCAGCAGAACTCGCAAACAGCAGACTTACACACTCCACAAAATCAAGTTGCTTCTGCCGTTAGATACTTCTGTGAAAGGGCACATCCAGGCATGGTCGAAGCCAGCGTCCTCTTTCTGCGGCCAACATCAATGCCGTCGTTCCTGTCATGTCCGAAGCATTGGCATTGGCCTTTCCTAGATAAGACCTACCTTGCAAATCGCAACAAAGAACCGGAAACAACTAAGCCCGCGACCCGGATCTCATCAAGCACCGCCCGCATCTCCTCGAGCACCGCTCGGATCTTCTCGAGCACCGGCCGGACGGTTAAGGACCGCACGGGAACGCGATTGTTGATGAAGAAACGACGAAATTTTTGAGGGTGCTCCGCACGGGAGCATGATTTTTAACGAAAGAACACTGAAATTTTGAGGATGCTCCGCACGGGAGCGCGATCTTGAACGAATGAACGATAAAATTTTCAGAATGCTCCGCACAGGAGCGCGATTGTTAATGAAAGAAAGATGAAATTTTCAGGATACTCCGCACAGGAGCACGATTCTCGTTCAAATTTTCAGGGTGCTCCGCACGGGAGCGCGATTTTCGTTAAACCCTAAATTAGGGTTACTTAAACCCTAATCTAGGGTTTAGCTAAGGACCAAATCCTTGAGAACAATGAAAACATAGAAATTGAGAACGCTGTATGAAAATGTAAGTGACTTGCTAATGGAAACATTCGAGGTCGAGAAGCTTCATATGGATTCCATCATGTGCTATTGGAAGATGTTCAAAAATACCACGCTCAAAATCGTCAATTTTGAGCCTTTTTTCGAAATCCAATAGGACATGGCAAAACAAGTCTTTTGCAAGGTTTTGATGCTCAAACATATCTGTTCTGCCAATGACAAAATGAAGGCTGAAGAACATCGTATGCTTTCATTAAAATGCGGACAAACACGATTTTTTCCTAATACCCCAGGTTTCTTGTCTTTTAATGGAACTAACTAAAAAGCGCCCCCGCCGCC